CCACTAGGTTTAAATCTGGGACTCCCCACCATTTGACCTTAGAACTGAAGAAGCTTCTCAGATGAGAGGTGAAACGTCTTCAAGCAACTTAAAGAAGTCCAGACGCTTTCTTTGCAAGCTCCTTTGACTCCATAGACAATAATGCACCCCCTTTTCATTAGAGATGAAGGTCTTTGAATTGAATGCTTAAAACAAGCCAAATGGTCCTTCACTGGAGGATGTGGCATCCATGTTTTCCAAAAAATGTCTAATTTCAAATTATCTGACCACAGAACAATTTTCCTCTTTAACTCAGTCCATTCTAAACTAGCTTTGGCCCACAGAAGTTTCTGAATCATGCTCACATGTGGCTTCTTCTTTGCATGACGGAGTTTCAATCTGCACATGTGGATGGCACGGCATCGTATTATGTACTTTCATAATGAGATATTCAAAGTCGTTACAATTTTGTTCACAGTCTTCAGTGACCTTTGTCAAGAATCTCCGCCTCTCTAAGATGCTCTTTTTTGATACCCAGTCATGTTTCTGAGCTGTTTCAAATTAACCTAATTAGCTGCAAAATGTTCCTTCAGCTGTTTTGTTTTAGTACCACTTGCTTTTATAGCCTTTTTTTGCCCCAGCTTAACTCTCTTGAAACATGTTGCTGCCATCAAATTCAAAATGAGCTAATATTTTTCATGACATAGTCAAATGTTTCAGGTTAAACAGTTAATATGTTTTCTGTGTTCTATTGTGAATCATTGCATTATATTTATATTTATATTTTTGACTTTTTGGAGGGAGTAAAGCAACTTGAGGTGATAGTTGGGAAATGGTGCAGCATAACCACTGTTCTGTTTCTTTCAGTTTGCTGATTGACTGAAAATCATTGGGTGTAGTTTTGAGATTGTGCAGAACTAACTGATGAGCTCACTAGTGTCATGAGACTGATACTCAGTGAAACAGGCTAATCCTGATGATCCCAGTGACCCCTTTTCACACGTTTTCCCCCATGAAATTGGGAGGGGTGTGGGGACAGAGAACTCTTGACTCCCCCTTCCATTTAACCTACAAACTTCTGTGTGAAAAAAAACAGGTAAACCCCAGTCATATTATCATTCAAATCACTGTTGTCATCAGTTGCTTCAGATATAAATACAGCATCAAATGCAGGTCATCGTGTTACTGCAAGTCAGACAGCATCATCATCTTGTTTTAGCAATGGTTTCCTGGCTTTGCACTGATCTAACCTCCTAGACCATAATTGCAGAGCAATTCCAACATAACCTATAAATAATTTAAAAGATAATCATTTATTTGCAATATGCTATTTAAAGTAATGGATACAAAGGGGAAAAACATTGTAGGGAATGTGTGGATTTCGTTAAATAGTCCAGATAACTGCATATCCAATGGCTTAAGTGGTCATCTTAAGTTTACAAATGACTGCAGAGTTTCTGCAGGTTGTCATTTGTATCCATACCATCAGGGTAAGGGAGACGTGCTAGAAAATTTATGTATTTATAGACTCTTGATGTCATTTGCATGATATATTATAAGTGATTTATGATGGACTAAAATTAGAAACAGACCAGCTGAACCAAATCTTGCTCCTTAATATAACAACAGATGTTATCATCCTGATGGCATCAGTGGAAAATAAATCTTTCTGTCATCATATACTTAAAGTGGTTTATCATTGCCGTCTTGCATAGCAAAGGAGGGTAATTAAGAGGTCCTCATTTAGCCGAGGTGTGAGGGGAATATACGGATCCGGTTTCTTCTGGCTCATGCTGAGACAGATGGATGGACACAGAATTGACTGTCTTCACTTTATCAGGAGAGTCTGCCACAACATGCACACGTGGATACACGTGTCACTTTTTTTTAATACAAAGAAATAGTGTATACATGTTGCTGCATCTATAGATGCACACACATACACCCACGCTCTCACACTCAGAGTCCAATCTGCCTCTTCCTTTGCCTGTGATCTGCTAAGTGTTTGCAGCCAACTGTGATTATGCCTATAAAATCCTGAGC